GCGTAAAAAACCCTGGAAGAGACCAGAACATTTAGAGGAACAGCGTTTAAAGCCTTGTGACCCGCTTAAACTTAAAGGTTCTGCTGTGAAACCTTCCAGCGACTGGGTTCTAGAGACGGCTGGTTCTGGTGGTTTTACAGCTGATTCATTTCTGAACGCAGGTTTTTTTTTCATAAAAGCCGTCGGACGAATCGCGACCAAATGTCACAGCAGAGCGTTTCTGACTGAGCCGCACGGTTTGACTTAGAACTTGTGAGTTTTCTCAAAGCTGCAGGACGAGTTAGGACTCGAACATGGAGTCAGAAGAGAGTCCACTGAATGATTGTTGTGTGTGTGCAGACATCGCCAACAAGGTGCTGCTGTCCCTGTTCACGGTGGAGATGCTGCTGAAGATGTACAGCCTGGGCCTGGCCCACTACTTCGTGGCCTTCTTCAACCGCTTCGACTGCTTCGTGGTGTGTGGAGGCATCATGGAGACCATCCTGGTGGAGATGGACATCATGCCGCCGCTCGGCATCTCGGTGCTGCGCTGCGTCAGGCTGCTGCGCATCTTCAAGGTCACACGGTACCAGGACGACACACAGACACACAACTACACAATGTCACAACAAACATGATCAGAGGACACGCAGAAACACAATAACACAACAAACACAGTACCAGGACACACACACAGACATGTAACAACACAATAACACAACACAACACGATCAGAGGACACGCACACAGACACACAATAACACAGTAACACAATAACACAACAAACACAGTACCAGGACACACAACTACACAATAACACAACATACAATCAGAGTACACACAACGACACAACACACAACTACACAACAAACATAACACGGTCAGAGGACGCACAGTTACACAAACAGACACACAGACATACACAGATACACAACCACGGCCACAGATAGTAGGACACACACTCAACCAGACACACAAAAACACAGACACAAACTGAGACTGACACACACACACAAACACACACGCTGAACCGCTCCCCGCCCCGTCGTGATGATGTCACTGTGTCCTGCGCAGCCATTGGACGGCTCTGTCCAACCTGGTGGCGTCGCTGCTCAACTCCATGAAGTCCATCGCCTCGCTGCTGCTGCTGCTCTTCCTCTTCCTCATCATCTTCGCGCTGCTCGGCATGCAGCTGTTCGGGGGGAAGTTCAACTTCGATGAGACGCAGACCAAGCGCAGCACCTTCGACGCCTTCCCGCAGGCGCTGCTCACCTGCTTCCAGGTAAGGCGGCGCCCTCTGTGATGTCACGGCTGCGGGGGGGCGTGGTCTGATGACGCTGCTGTGTGTTCAGATCCTGACAGGCGAGGACTGGAACGTGGTCATGTACGACGGCATCATGGCGTACGGCGGCCCGGTGTTCCCAGGGATGATCGTGTGCGTTTACTTCGTCATCCTCTTCATCTGCGGTAACTGTATCCATGACAACCACGATTTGATGGATCCTGTCGGCGGAAACAGAGAACTGGAGATAAACTGATATTCTGTTTGTGAAACATGCGTGTTCATTGTTTCTAAATGATGTTTGAACTGAGACATGTGTCGCCCCCTGGTGGCTGGTTGCACTACAGATTATAGGCTCCGCCCCCTCTATGTTAGTATATGAGGGATGAGGCAAACTGTCGTATTAGATTTTTCTCAGTATGCTGGCAGCCACAAGGAGACTCAGAACAGTCACAAAGTGACATAACATGACCTCAAAGAGACAAAAAATGACCACATATTAACAGAAAACAACCAAGAAGATAAACAAACGACTACAAGGAGACTTTAGCTGCTTATATAAACACAGAAAGTGTCTATGAAAAGACACAAAACAACCAAAAGTGACTGAAAACCACAAACCTTTAAAGATGGATCTCTAAACACCCAGAAAATGTTCAGAACAACTGTTGAGTTTCATGAAACTTTAACAAAGGAGTTCCTTAGGGAACCATCGTGGGTCCTCAGGAGATCATTTTAGGTCCTCCCATGTTTCTGATCAGGTTGTTATTGATTAGTTTTCACTAGAACAGAAGCTGTCGGACCTGTTGAACTTCAGATGAAGCTACAGGTGCGTCCGGCACTCACAGAAACCCAATAATTAATCTAAGATCTGCGTAACAACGTCCTTAACGAGAGTCAGACATCCTGCTGAACGTCTTCTTGGCCATCGCCGTGGACAACCTGGCTGGAGGAGACGGAGATGACAAGAAGAAAGAGTGAGTGATGGACGGAGGAGACGTGAAGTAAACTGAAGGAGCGTTTGTTTGTTTTCTGACCGTCGTCTGTTGTTTCTGCAGGAAGAAGACGGAAGGAGGTGAAGAGGAGGAGGAGGAGGAGCCTGAGGGAGGAGCAGAAGTGAAGGTGATGAAATGATCAGTTCAGGACCACAGAGACACACAAGAAGTAACACTAAGAAACAGACTACAGAGAGACACAAAACAACCACAAAGAGACACAAAACAACCACAAAGAGACACAAAACAACCACA